ATCAAACTAATAAACATATAAATTATGAGACTGGCTCAGATTTGCTATGGGACCATATTACATTAACACCATTCACTGTACTGGTGCAGCAGAGCACATCTCAGAACTGTAGTGCATGAACTGTGCAGTGCTGATTATTTAAGACATAAATCTTGCCAAAATGAAAGTTCATGCATTTTAATTGTAATATTTGTTGCATGGGCTTAGCACAGCTTCACGCAATCTCTTCCCTGCCCTCCTCAACTCCCCCTCAGCTCAGTGGAGTGGACTATGTCAACCTTGCTATCTTTTAACAGAAGACTAGACATAGGGAATTGATGATTAATGCAGACAAATCTATTTGGATTTGGGTTTTGTTTTGTTTTTTAAAAATATCATTTGATCACACTGAAGTCATAGCCACAGAACGCAAGATGTTCCACACACCGTGCTGTTGGGAAGAATCAGGTCAGACTAAAGGCCTACCTAGTCTAGCATCCTGTTCATACAATTGCCAACCAGTTGTCTACGGGAAGCTTGCCAGGAACAGCACCCACAAAGGCCTCTGATACACAAGTACAGCCATCCTGACCAGTAGCAAGTATTGTCCCCTGGGTTTGTTTTAGGTAGGAGGCTCAATACTGGCAGGTAGGTTGTTAGTAATTTTGACTACTTGCAGGTGTTTGCAGCTGGAGGGCAAATTGCTTTTCTCATTCATTACTAATCTCCGTAACTATGAAGACTATGGGAAGGGCAATGAAGATAATAAGAGGCCTGGAGAACAAAACATATGAAGAGTGGTTGAAGGAGCTGGGCATGTTCAGCTTGGTAAAGAGAAGACCAAGAGGTGACCTGATATTTAATTACTGCAAGGACTGCCACAAAGAGGAGGGTGCTGACTTGTTCTTTGCTGCCTCTGAGAGCAGAACCAGGTCTGATGGTTTTTAGTTATAGGAGGATAGATTTCAACTGAACATTAGAAGGAAATTCTTGAGAGTAAGAACAGTTCAGAAGTGGGACCAGTTGGTGATGGGATCTCCTTTTCTGGGTGTCTTCAAAAAGAGGCTGGACAGCTACCTGCTAGGGATGCTCTAGCTGGAGATCCTGAATCGAGCA